AACTAACTCACTTCGGGATGATTTCTACATTGTATGTAATGATATTGAATTGAATATTTTCGTACTAATTTCGACCACTTGAACATCTTCTGCCCTTTGGTATGCATTTAGATAAGTTCTCTAATATCAACCCCAATCTACTTCTACCAACTGTCAATTACAAATTAATACTGTAGTGATAATATTACTTTCGTCTACTACCCGATTTTCAAATAGTAATTATCCCCGTAAATGAGAGGTAAAGCTCATCTGAAGAATTATTGTCCTAGTCTTCATTAGTTGTTATGTTGTTACATATTTTAATTTGTATAATATCAAAAGCACAGAATCAGAAATGTGCGGCAGGTGTCAATTTCAATAAAAAAGTCATTCAATACGCCATATGGTTATTATTCGTTTGTATATTGTTACATTACGACCTCGATTACGGCCTTCAAAGTAATAGGTTTCGATATAAAACACACTTACAATAGAACAAGAACGCTCGTGTAACAATTTTGCCACAAACGCAAAAATGCAAAATGATACGTGAAACCGTCGTAGAACGAGATTGTTATTATCTCGTTGTTTGGTAAGCAAAATAGGAACGCGAATAAATCAATTTATTATTTCGTTCAAGGCATTTTTAAAATTAAGTCAGAAAGTTCACTATATACAATCTTACTGAATAAGCACAAAATATCTAATTTATTACACACGTTTAAGCTATTTTAAGTTTAGCTTTCGTTGCAAAATGTTAAGCACGTACAATGTTAACCGAATTCGATAGATAAAATGTACAAGTTCTGCAAAATAGCAATAGATGATTCTCGCTAATAACCGTTTAAAGTTAATGTTCAGTAAAATGGTCTAAAGTCAGAACTGTGTGATGTGTATTGCTTCACAAAATTCCTTGTTAACAAAAACAAAAATAAGTCATATTTGTTTTAATTGAAGCAGCACAATTCAGCAATCGGTAAAGGTCTAGATGAAGGGGGTGGGGATGGGGGAAATGGAAGGAGGAGGTCTCCGCCACCACTGTATCATAAAAAGTTCGTGGCGGTCTCACCCCCATAAAAAGTTATAGGGGTTCAAAGTTAATAAATATGCCAATTTTTATACATTTCTAGGCATGTAAATATTTATATAGTCATTCGTAAATAATATTCAAAGGTAAAACTAATGAAAAATACATAAAAATATTGAGAAAGTTATATAAAACATTATTTAAATATCTTTATCAATAGGGTAGGTTAGGTTAGGTTATCGGGTTTTGTTCGAGTGACCACCCTCTTTCGATCCCTCACTTCCACCCGCTCGGAAATAATTATTTTATTGAATTTTATTTGAATTATAGTGTATGAAAATTGTCAAAATAATTAACTAACGGTGAAACCGCCGCAAATTGTTTATGGGGTTTTACTCAGATGACTATCCTCTTTCGATCCCCCTACCCTCTTTCGATCCCCCCACCCTCACCCCCATCTAACTCCCATAACATTTTATGGGGGTGAGACCGCCACGAACTTTTTATAGTACAGTGGTCGGGGAGACCTCCTCTTTCGATCCCGCTCACCCCCACCCCCTCTGGGGGCCATCACCTAGACATTTACCCAGCAATCTTTGTCCTTGTACGGGACCAAGTTGCTGGAAATCATTTAAAGCCCATTTTAGAAAATTTAAGGCGAATACAATTAATAATCACAATCAATAATTAAACTACTAATCAGAAGAAAATCTGTAATGATTACTAAGACGTGTGTTACCTCCGTTATGTCGTTATTTTGAATTACAAAATTGATTTTGATTAATAATTAATACCTACCTGCATACTTTACAATGCACTGGCACGAAAACATGTAATGATAAATAGTGTTCTTATCACCAAATTCTGTCTGCTCTGGTACATTAATAAGAGGTCGGTTTTGATAAGCAAAAAATGCAGTAAAACTGAATTTGGGTAATGGTTTCAAGGTTTTTACAACCATAATTAATAATCTGTTACCACTAACAAATACTAGTGAACAAAATTAATTATTAATTAGTGCAACGTATTAAAATATCATATCAAATTAAGAGCAAATAAATGTCTTAAAGGTCACCAATAAAATTATTTTCTATTAGATTGGTACAAGTCTCAAAAATATGTTCATCATTACGACCAATGACTCCAATAGAGTACATCCAATGCCTTCATGTGCATTTATTGATGTATAAAAATATCTTTTTCTTTTTTTATAAAAATATTTTTCTGGTAGATAATAATAGAGTTCTTCCTTTTGTCAGTTCTATTTTATCTAATTCCTGAATTTTCAACGTTTGGTTGAAAATTAAAATCAAAATAAGGTAAATAAATTATGTGGAAATGTAAAACAATTTTAAAGTACATTCATTGTCTAAGGTCCACATGAACCGTACTCATTTATTTAGACACATATATCTAATAAAACCTGGAAAAATCTCTCTGTACAAATAATTATTTTATTACCATATTCTTACCGAAAGTACGATAGATAAATGTTTATAGTAAATATTTATTCGATATATCAATAGGATTTTAATTTGCATATGACCTTTGAGAAAAAGAATATGAAGATTCTTTTTAATGGGGGCGAAATGTCGAGGCTAGACAAATTCAGAATTAATTAGCAAACTTTAGGTAGTAATCCGCATGAAATTTCTCAATAGCACGGCATTTACTAAAAGTCTATTCTCATTAAAGTATTACGTAGGAGTCGTTCATAAAATACGTTCGCAAAAGCAGGAGAGAGAGGATTGCTTAGCGTAAAGAGATTAAGGGTGGTGTATGGAAACGTGTATAGTTTTATTTATTTTTTGCTTTATTAATATGTTTTTGCTGTTAAATCGAAACGAATCTTTTATAAGGAGAGGTGGCAGGTGAAACCCCTAAAACTTTCGGCGTAAAATTTGTTATTACGAAGTTGCAAAAAAAGGATTTTTTGAGTGACGATTCGGCATGCAAATAAGTAGTAGTTTAAGTTTAAAATTCTTTAGAGAGAATATAATATTTTAACAGCAGACTCGTCTATTTTAATAATTATAAGCATACTGGAATGGACAATTTTACATACATTACATGTCAATGTCCTAAAATAAGCTTTGGCCAGCATTTTATAAAGTAGCGTCAGCTTCAACCGTACTTTTTTGAAAATGTTTCCGGTATTTTCTTACGAACAACAACCAGTGTGTACGTTTTTAATCCTTCTTTTATGTTACATAAAGTGATCGAAAAAATGTGCTTCGATTTTTGGAACACTAAACGCTCATTTTTTTTAATTAATAATGTAATAGATCTTGTTATTGAAGACAGACTTTCCAGAATTTAAACGGTCAGCTAAATAGTTGAGTCCTTGGTAACGATCCTTAATAAACAGAACTACCATTTATTACAGTAAAAAGTAATGCAAAACTACAAAATGTGTCATACCTACATACGAATGCATATGAACTTGAAAGACCTTAAAAATAGATACAAGGATAAACAGGCCAACAAAAGAAAAGTGCAAGTTTTGCTTACAAACGGTGCGAGAATATTCCTTTTTTTGGTGTTCTATTTTCATAAAATGAGGGTTCAAGGCGGAGATGTGGTGAGTTCGTGTGTCTCAAGAGTTACGTTTTTAACTTCCAAAGGAAATGCGCGCAAAGAACTTTGTCGCTTTTAAAATAATGTGCACTTATTTTGAATTTCTGACTTATTAAGTAAGTCACAATACTGAATTGATGAATGAATACCTAATACCGAAAGTATCTTATCATTAAATATGTATTTAACGAAAAATGCTTGATAAAAGAAGGGCTGAAAATAACCCGATATTTAGCCATAATTTAATGTTACTACCGCATAAGAAAATCTATAGGTAGATAGTAGAATCAATATATGAATGATTTCAGGTGCAAAAAACATATTTATTACTTGTCTAATAAAAGTAGTTTTTCATCTGAAACAGTTCATATAATGGTACGTAATATAAAGTTGGTCAGGGGGTGCTTAATGGAAATCATAGTAGTTATTTAGAATTAGCAGTTACTTCTATGACAATTAGATTCAAATTCTTCAGCACTTTGAAAGTGCTTCAAATACTTTCAAAAAGCTTGAAGGCCTTTGAATTAGAAATTGTAAAGCAATTTTATAGGGTAATTTCATATGTTAATGAACATACCAACTACTTGTTCATAAAAGGACTTGGATTCCAGTGCTTCTAAGCCCTGAAAGGACTGGATGAAACATTTCCAAGCGCAAAGCACTAAAGCTCTGCTTATCAGGTACAGGCTTAAGAACTTAATGTTCTTTAATGTAAGTACTGTCTATATGGGTGAAGAAAAAACACCAAACATACAAATTACACATTTTTTATCAGCATTTTTTCTTTTTTTAAGTCGCACAAGCAAAAATGCAAAATTTGGTCAATATATTTTTTCAACCACGTCTTTTTAAAAATATCACCTGCTTCTTTAGAGACTATCCAGTCTGGAAAAATGTTTAAGGCGGGCCGCGGGTTGGCTACCCCTGTAATAGAATATCCGTACGTTCGGTTAACAACTCGCCACTAGTGTATAGTCAAATAGGGATATTCTTTTCATCGACAATTAAAAATAATCTGAACTAATTTCATTCATTTACTTAATAAATATTAACATGTCAGTACGTATTGTTTTAATTATTCAACAAATACTATTTTGTTTATATTTTTGAATATTATGAAATTGTAAAAGATTATGAACCCAAGTCAGTAATAGATGATACTTAGATACATCAAGAAAAATCTGTCTTCATTGAAGCGATCATGAAAGAAATTTCAATGTAGTTTTATTAAACATACAGATAATGTATGACGATATTCTTCTGGAAGATAACGGTTTTTAATTACATGAGATAGACCACTTTTGACATGTGAAAAGTTGTATCTTCTAGTAGGTATGCAAGTTCAAAATGACCTGCCTTTGAACAAGTTATGCGAGTACATGTCAAAAATTTAAACTTTAAATTTTATTTAACTTACGTTTTGCCGCGGAGAGTAAATCTTTAACTTCTTTGATGAGCTTTTTTATCTGTTGACTCGTGATCTCCAATTCCTTCTCATGTTGATGAAGATTTTCGCGAAAAAATGGACTGTCACTTAAACACTCCGTAAATTCTAATGGGGGTAAACCAACACCCATATTCACTGTATTATGTTTGTTGAAATACCACTTTTAAATAAGAACAACGTTATTTACCTACGACGAAAGCATTATACTTCAAACTACAACGCGAAGTAAACTGACATCCTAACAACAAGACACAAATTAGACAACTGCTACACTACCTGTTGATTTAAGTCATGCGCATTTGTATATCATTTTTAATAACTATGGTGCCATCTACTGAACGAAAGCTACAATAATCTTGAGAAAACTATATTTGTTTTGGAATAGTTTGATTTCTATTCGGAATCTAAGTGACCGACAGACAGGGCCGTATTCTAATTTGTTTTGAAAGAAAACAACAAAACTGTATTTTTTTATAAACTAGTCTGTTATTAAGAATAATTTCCATTTATAAGTAAATCTGAAGGAATGTAATATATAGTCAATAATTTGCATTTTTGAATGCAGGTCTACAATAAATATTAAACATTTTACTTCGTCAAAGATAAATGAATACTTACATTCAAATGCCTCTAATTTGACAAGTGCACCGAAAGAGATGGGAGGTATATAAAATGAAATAAAAAAAATAAATAAACAAACATAAAGAAAGGTCTTTTGGTCAAAAAATAAACTTAGCTAAGCTTAGCTAGTGTAGTACGAGTAGAAGCAAGTATAAGTTCAAGAGGGAAACCAAACAGTCGCATTATTTTCTCTGATCATTGCAAGTTCTTTGTTTGTAAATATAAAGTAAGGTGTACTGACGTTTTGGCCTTTCTACTTTGATTTAGATATTACGCATTTTAAATTTAATTTTGAAATTATGTGCATTTTTCCTGAAGAAATAATTGAGCGGATTTTAAAACATTGTGATGGTAAAACTTTACTTATTGCTTATGCTGTTAATGAGCAATGGAAAAACATCATTCAAAGATTAACCAAAGTGAGTAGTAACAATTTATTCTAAATAATAACATTTAAATATTATAAGTAATAAAACATTATTCTTTCTTTTTTTAATGAATAGTATCATCATCATCAACATTAACTTTTTAATTAGTTTAAAATATTAAGTGGGCCAGTTACAAGCCAAAACAAAAAAAATATTTTTAGTATGCAGCTGCTCATAACAATCACCTTTATTTTTTTTCTCTAGTTTATTGCTTTATTTTCTTCTCTAGTTTTTAATGTGTGGCAGTGACAAAAGCATTTCAAAAAAAAAATTTTAAATGCTACTTCTGAAATACTTTCTTTGTTCTTTTAGATATTAGATCTACCAATTTTGCACCTGTTTGGTTTTATTTGCTGAAACTAATTTTCTTATTCATTTGTTAATTAGAATTAAACTAACGAAATTGGTAATCTTATAGAGAACAAAAATATGGAAGAGAAATTGTCTTAGGGATATACCCAAAGGTGAACTTGTGAAGTATACAGAAAAGTATATTAATCAAAACGATATAGACAAATGGTTAAATATTTATAAAAATTGGTGTGCTTGGCAGGATATTGATGGCAATATTGAATTTGATATACATTTGTCTCCAATTGAAGTATCAAGAATTACCAGCATTGCAGTTTCAGGTATTTATGTTTGTTTCAATTTTTTATGTAATAAGTTAATATTTAATTCATTATTCTTTAATTGATCTTACAGGAAGATATGTAGCAGTGGGTTCAGAAGATGGTAGAATCAAAATATTTAATGACAATTGGGACTTATTGCATACAACCAGATATCAAGCAATCAAAATCACAGAAATAACTTTTATGTGTGGTATGTCTTTTGAAAGTAAAGTGTATAATTTTTTCTTAACTGTTATGATTATTAATTTCAGATGAAGAATACTTTGAGGCAAGGAATGGAAGAATTTATGTTCTTATTGCATACAAAACAGGCACCTTAGTTTTAACAGAATTTGATGGAAAATTAAATGAACTTTCAGTCATTCAAGATGTTAAATTGCATAGGTAAGAATTATTATGTCATTCCACCTTCCAAATTAAAGACTAAGTTCAAGGATAATATGCCCTTCAAAAGATCAATTGAAAACTGCTTGCTGTTGCTTTTTTATAAATTCCACTTTCTTTTCAAATTTATAGCCCTAACATATGGTCAGAAAGTCTGACACTTTTATTGGCATTAATGTCTAAAAAAAGCAGTTTACATTTCTGTAATGTTTGAATAAAATGTTTTTCATTCAATATACGTAACTGTGTGGAGTTAAATTTGGGGTTTAGAATTTTTAGTTACACTTATTTTGCCTATACAGTCTTGATAGTTTGCCAAATCCATACAAATAAAGTACAATGAAACAGGAAATTGCTTCAGCCAAAAGTAAAATCGTTTTTAAACTTTATTGACTTTATTAGATAATATGAGTTTGCATTTATAGTTCTCTAGTCAATTTTTTAACTTTAAACAAAATTATGTGAATAAAAAAATATATACATTTAAGATTAATGTCTTCAGGTTTATGTTAAACATTATTTTTAATTCCACTTTAAATTATTGTTTAGTCTAAATTTTAAAGGCAATAACCAGTTAAGCCTTATTTTTTGCACAAGTAACTTTAATAGTACTTGTTTACCCTTAAAATATTAGACATATAGTTGCACTATTTTATGAATGAAAAGTTATTTTTAAGCCTTTTAACGAATAGCAAATATATCAATTAAACTATAATAAACTGTAATTGAAGGGTTTTAAAAGTTATTATTAATCAAATTTTCTAATTTTTTTAAAGCGTTTACAAAAAGTATCTTTGTTATGAGAAGAGAGGTGGCCGAATTACAATCAGTAAACTTTGCAAAAATTCGATGGGCACTAATGTATTTTGCGAAATAACATTTCTGAGAATTTACTCACCAAGTGAGGTCTCTTGCCTGCATATGTGGGGTGGGACGGCAACGTTTTTGATAAATAACGAGGTCAAAGTTCTAAAGTATGACGAAAATGTTCCTCCCATAAGCATTCCAGAGCGCAGAGTAAGGATAAAATTTTGCATAAACAACCATCCCAGGCTGGAAAGATCGTGTCACATTTATAGAGATGACATTATTATTTGTGCATGTAAGTATCATCAACATGTTGCGAACATAAATTAAAACACTTATTCTGTTAAAAACTTGGCATTTGTGTATTTATTAAACCTCAATGAATTCTATTTTAATAGTCAAACGTGTTATGCAGACTCGTTGTAATACTTAATCTTAAAGAGATTGACACCATAAAAAAAGGACACAGAGATTTCGATGAAACTTTGAAAATAACATTTATAAAAAAAAACTTGCGAAAATTCAAGGTTCAACAAGTTAAGATGCAAACTGCATAATTTTGAGACATAATTTATCAGTCAAAAAACTCATAGAACACAAAAAATTTATTAAAAATTNCATCTTTATTTTTTTCTCTAGTTTATTGCTTTATTTTCTTCTCTAGTTTTTAATGTGTGGCAGTGACAAAAGCATTTCAAAAAAAAAATTTTAAATGCTACTTCTGAAATACTTTCTTTGTTCTTTTAGATATTTGCTGAAACTAATTTTCTTATTCATTTGTTAATTAGAATTAAACTAACGAAATTGGTAATCTTATAGAGAACAAAAATATGGAAGAGAAATTGTCTTAGGGATATACCCAAAGGTGAACTTGTGAAGTATACAGAAAAGTATATTAATCAAAACGATATAGACAAATGGTTAAATATTTATAAAAATTGGTGTGCTTGGCAGGATATTGATGGCAATATTGAATTTGATATACATTTGTCTCCAATTGAAGTATCAAGAATTACCAGCATTGCAGTTTCAGGTATTCATGTTTGTTTCAATTTTTTATGTAATAAGTTAATATTTAATTCATTATTCTTTAATTGATCTTACAGGAAGATATGTAGCAGTGGGTTCAGAAGATGGTAGAATCAAAATATTTAATGACAATTGGGACTTATTGCATACAACCAGATATCAAGCAATCAAAATCACAGAAATAACTTTTATGTGTGGTATGTCTTTTGAAAGTAAAGTGTATAATTTTTTCTTAACTGTTATGATTATTAATTTCAGATGAAGAATACTTTGAGGCAAGGAATGGAAGAATTTATGTTCTTATTGCATACAAAACAGGCACCTTAGTTTTAACAGAATTTGATGGAAAATTAAATGAACTTTCAGTCATTCAAGATGTTAAATTGCATAGGTAAGAATTATTATGTCATTCCACCTTCCAAATTAAAGACTAAGTTCAAGGATAATATGCCCTTCAAAAGATCAATTGAAAACTGCTTGCTGTTGCTTTTTTATAAATTCCACTTTCTTTTCAAATTTATAGCCCTAACATATGGTCAGAAAGTCTGACACTTTTATTGGCATTAATGTCTAAAAAAAGCAGTTTACATTTCTGTAATGTTTGAATAAAATGTTTTTCATTCAATATACGTAACTGTGTGGAGTTAAATTTGGGGTTTAGAATTTTTAGTTACACTTATTTTGCCTATACAGTCTTGATAGTTTGCCAAATCCATACAAATAAAGTACAATGAAACAGGAAATTGCTTCAGCCAAAAGTAAAATCGTTTTTAAACTTTATTGACTTTATTAGATAATATGAGTTTGCATTTATAGTTCTCTAGTCAATTTTTTAACTTTAAACAAAATTATGTGAATAAAAAAATATATACATTTAAGATNATTCGTTTTCAGCAAGTAGATATCCACACAAGTGGACCTTGTTGGAGCATACGTAATCCTAAAATGTAGCATCGTGCTACAGATGGCGTTTACAGCGCCATTTGTCGTATTTTCTAAAACGCGCTGTTAAAGCAGCAGGTAAAAGTTGGTCTGTGTTCTGTCGGAGCTGCCTGCGACGCGCTGATGAGATCCAAAAAGATCGAAATCGCGATCCGCGTTTGGCAGTTTCTTCGACAGAATACAGACCACTTCGGATTATTTTATTCAATTATCACATATGATAGAAATGTTGAAATCCCTAAAACTTGTGTTTTGCCTAGGCCAAATTGGTTTATCGTGTATTTGTTACCGACGTAAAACAACTTTAGGATAAACTAGTTACTCTAGGATAAAGTAGAATCCTGAAGGAGGAATTGGTTGGCTACATATGTGTACATGTTACAACAAATATAGTTAAACTTTGTTTGAAAGTTTGAAAGTTTAAGTGTATTTCTAAATATAAATAAAGCTTTTCTGCCATACTCCTACCGAAAATACGATGTTTTTCCCTGACTTCAGGGACAAAAGCGCAACATTTCCCCATGGGTATTTTCCTTATTATGGAAAGATTTCTCCATTCTCCGCTCGGATGGCAATTTCCACGTGGAGGAAGTTGAAACATTTTCTTAATACACAGGAAATGTGATTTCTTACCTTTTCGACTTTCTCTTCCCTTAAATCGTACTCTTGGGGTGGAGGTATGGTGTAAAAAAATGTATACCGCGTTTGGGAAGAAAGTACGGCATCACAAACAGGAGGGAATGTCGTACTTTCATCCCTTGTTCCCTTGATGCGTAATATACTATTATTAAGGGGTTGTATAGCGTATAGTCAGTTTTGAAGTCAACACTTCTTACCCAAGAGGAATTGAATGTAGCCACTTATTCCAATGGTTTTTCTAGATACTGTACATATTAATTACGTTGATAAAGACTGCATCTTATTAATCAATTGATACTTTAACCAGCGGATATAAACACTAGCTAGATATTTTATACTTGTAATGGCATATACGTAAATCAACATAATAGATTAAGCATTACAAAAAAAAAAAACTAAGAACCGTTATTGTACGGTCATGCCATAAAAATACACCGGCGATTTGTTTAGGTGTTATAATTAATATAATGGTGTGTAAGGTACTGTCGGAAATAATTATCACCATGAAGGTGAATTCCAACTTCATCGAACCATATAAACGAATTTTTTAGCGTTTGAGGCTCAAACGTCTTTAATTACAAACTCAGCAAAGTAATTAAGAAGCATGTAGCTAGTTAAAATTAGCAAACATGGTTGCGACGATGTTCCAATTTTCTATAATGGATAATTTACATTTCAAATGCCATTTCATTTCTCCTCTACGTAATTACCCAGTTAATTAGTTATGTCAGACCCTGTAGCTTTAGGTAAAGGCAACTTAATTAATTTTATTTTTGTCTCATTTGAATTCCCTTATACATATACATGTACGAATGTAGATATTGTTATGACAAGTAAAACGTAAAAACAAAAAAAAAAATGTAAATTGAAGAATACAGATTTCTTCTACTATACGGATTTAAAAACCTATAGAGATAGGANGTACACATTATTTTTCTTAATTATGTTTATTTAAATTTTAAATTTAAAAAACTATCAGGTCTAAGAAAAATGTTATAATTTAAGCCACAACAGAAGATGATTTAAGAGAACAGTTCCTAGAACTATTTATTTTGGGAGAAAAAGGAAGTTACAGCAAAAAATTGTTTAATACCTGGGATGTTCTTGAATCATACATTACTTGCATGTTTTTGTATGGAAATACATTTATTATAGGAGTGGATATTGGAAACGTAAGTTGGTTTACTTATTTTGATAAAGCGGTGCTCAAAAAATAACACTGTAATTATATATTTTAGATTTATTTTTACCACATCAGTTCATGGAAAGAGTTCGATATTCGTAATTATCAAAAGAAAATGATAGTTGGTAGACATCCTATCAATGGGATTGATGTAAGAGAAGACAGTCACCAAAGAAAATTTTATGTTCATTCCAGCTTTAAAGTTCATGAAATAACAGGATTAAGAGTAAACGATTATCAGTATGATTTACATTGTGGTGTTTAAAATGAGTCAATGTACTTAATACATAATATTTTTCTTCATTTATACATGTAGAGATGCATTATAAAGAAACAAATATGTACCTAAGAACGATATGATAAGGAAAAATAGTTTCTAATTTGATAAGGGTCATTATTTAAATATGAATAATTTATTATTTTCATGTGGAATTAGAAAGTCATGCTTTTGATTACTTGTAAGGCCAAAAATAATGAATAGGATCGATAATGATACGAAAATGGTCCCCAAGCAGGGAGTTTAATAAGTTATCTAAAAAAATTATTATGTTTCGTTCAGAGTAAATTATTCATATTTGTCGTAATGTTAATAAACTGTTAATAATAATATGTTTAGGTTGATTTTAGACTGAACATGTGTGTATTGTTTATAATTAATATATTTGTGATCTATTTTTGTTTATGGCTGTTGCTGTTGTTTCAAGGAGAATGGGGAATTGTTTTAAAATTACTCAGATTTATGATTTGTTGGCAGTGTTCCTGCTGATTTGCATTTTTTACGTACTATAAACATTTCAAAACTGACAGGAATGTTTGTACCCATTCAAAATTCTCTGTGTACATAGCTACAGAAGAATGCAGTAGTGTAATTTTATAGAAAATGCAATATTGGTAATATATTCGCTTTTAGTTTTAGCATTTTACCTAGATCTAAATTTAAAATAGCTGTTTGTTGCCGGTCAAAAACAAAAAAATTTATGTGAATCGTCCTCTGTTATAAAAATGTAGCTTTTTATATTTTTTATACTTTTGGCTGTGTCATTTGTCATAAGAAAATAAAATTATTAATCACAGTATTGACTTTTTCTTACTTTTATTGTTTAATATTTAAAATTAAATTGGAAAAGTGATAACAGACGAGTGCACGAATATCTATAATTTATATTGTACTTACTTAATTAACAATTCAAATGAAGGGTTTCGGTAGTCTACGTTTATTAAAAACGAGTGCGGGACGACTGGTTACACGGCTCACGCATACGTGACTTAAGATTTTTTTTGTCGTATGCAGTTATTTCAAACATGTGATCCCCAGTTTATTAAAAGATTTTTATAAATAAACAAAATTTTTAAGTAATTTCCTTTATAAATACCTTATGCTCGTCATTCCACAAAAGTCTTCATGACTGGTGATTAGAAAATCAATGAAACAATATGTTTCTTCAGGTGGAAACTTCAACTCGTAAACAGGAAACGCTATGTTTAAAACGAATTGGGGGCGTTTCAAATAAATAATATATCTCCAATTTCAACATTAGTTCTATTTCTCGCATCTTTCCTATTTACCTCTTCAAATTACCTTTTCTGAGTTCTAGGAATAAACAAATAAAACAATTAATTTTGCTTTTTTAAAATGGCAATAAAAAATAACGACAAATAAACAAAAACGCAAATTGAAGCATTTGGGGCTTCTTCAGATAAATCAAAACCTTTCATTTATGTTTTAAAATAACATTTGTTTTATTAACACCTTAAGACCTAGTGAATACAAACAGTACATTAAAATGGAGTCAAAATTAGCCCAACAATCTAATATTCTTCAAGGTAAATGCGGGTTCTTATCATTTACACTTCAGTATATGTTACTTATTAAATCCTTAACAAGTACATAATTAATATCATTTAATAATAAGTGTAATTGTAGGTACATGTAAAATACAATATCCAATTAATACAATTAAAATACAGGATAATTGCAATATTGATATTACTACAAGTACGCACAAATTAATGAGTTACTGCGATGAAACATAACATATACAGGGTGGTCATAGGAGATCTCTGCATTCTTATCATGGACCATGGGCAGTCTTTTACAGATAGGATAGAGACGCTCTATGCTTGTCGGTGATTCCCGGCTTCTAGTCGTGTTGTGTTGTAGAGGGATAGATATTATTTTCTGAAGGATGATTCGGTCCAGTTCTACGTATACGTTTTTGATCCTTATATGATGTTTTAAGCAAAATATAAAACACATATATACATATAAAATATTTTTTTTAATGCAAGACAAAGACTTCGAGGTCAAAATTATTAACAAAACAATTGTTTAACGTGCTAAGTAATCACTAATGTTTGATTGGTAATGATGCCAATTAGATAATGACTTGCCCATTTGTCTATAATTAAAAACTTAAAACGTATTAGTCGTATATGTTATACGCGAAAAAATGTAAAAGTGGCAACTACTGCAGGTAAAATATTAAACGATTATAAATGAATGAGGTTTTTAAAAAATTATGTTATCTTTAAAAGTTCCAACAACAACGGCATACTGCTCAATTTTACACTATTTACATCTATTTCTAACCCGAAATGAAGATGGTTACATCTGGTAAATGGTTCAAATGTCATATAGAATATGGTTCGACATAGAATTTCGATTAATTCTTGTTTAACGTTATTATATATATATCAATGTTCCGGAACATTTTCTGTATCTCTTTGAATGGTGTCATGGTTAATAAATACTACACTTCCTCTTCCTGTCAGTAGAACGTTGAAACATTTTTTAATATAACTAGCAAAAATTAAGCATTAAAGTATACCCTTTTAAACAAACGCTAAATAATTCAAGGAATTTCCTTAACTGTACATTTAAAACTAAATATTAATAATGAATAATACTAAATAACTTTTTGAGCACAACGCTCATGTTACTGCATAAATGTATAATACTTAACTTTTTAACATTTTCAAACATTACAACATGAACGACTGTTAATGTTTAAAATTTTTAAAAGGAATTACGAAATGATGATAATATTCAGCGTAGAAACTCCATAACACAAACATTACTGACCAATTTATTATAAATTGGATTGCTTATCTGTAACTCGAACAGTTCGAATTTGTGATGAGCAAAATTGATCTTGGTATTGCAAGACCTTTTTTATACTAGCAACACCAAAAGACCACAACCGAGAATGAACGAACCAGATTAAGACTAAAACCAATTATAAACTATTTGAAACTTTAATAGATTCTTTTAATAGAACGAAACATTTTTAGTATTTGAAATTTTCTTTCTTTTATATTATACAATTTGAATTATCAGGTAGACAAAATGGAAATCAATTACTGTCCAATACGTCTCTATAATGAATTTTCTTTTAAGAAAATAATACATTACATTCGAACACGAAATAGAAAACGTTTTATTTGGGCGATAAAATTGCTTTAATACTGCTGCTGCTCTTTGATACTCTATAAAACGAAATTTCATTACAAGGAAAGAAAATACCCGTATCTTGAATTTCACAACATGTATGTAGGTATAGAGCATTTACTTTGTGCTTACTTATATTGCTTAATAAGAACGTCTTTCGAAAAAACAATAATAATTTTTGTCACACTTTTGTGGTGTGGTAGCAAATATTACGTTTAGGGACTGTTTTCTTTTTCTTGTAAAAAAGTCTTTGATAACTTTCGAACTTATCTAGATCGACTTTCAATAGTATCAGTAACTGAGTTAGGAAGAATATAAAGACAGAAATGTTAGAGACGCCTGACCCAAATTTAGACAATGATAAATAAATGTTAAAAATCCTACACATTCTGGAGTCTTAGAGAAAAAAAATCTACGTGCTTTTATTGGACCTTCTTTTTCACAAAAGCCCTATAATTTTCAGCATATTATATTTTATAGTTTCAAAAGCGCAAAAGATTTTACCTGACTTATCGATTCTATCAATTAGGATACTTTACACCCTATTGTAGAAGAATTGGTTATATAAATGAGTTTGAAGAATAAAATTCACGGGTGACGTTTTAATTAACACAAATTTCTAAAGTTTGAGATAAAAATGGACTGTAGACTGCAAATATAAATAAAAATATAAATAAATAAAAAAATTCTTGGTGGAATTTCGTAAAAGAAGTAATCAAACAAGCGCATATAGACGTATAATTTTTAATTAGAGCGAAGTTATAGGGTTGGTAACTACGTGATTGCGGATTTTATTGATAGATGGCTATAAACATTAGTTTTGTCACATTGGCAAATTGTAAGGGTGCTGCTTTCCAACAAAATTTAAAGCCCAACACATCTTTGATCATTCGCCAAGAAATATTGGAGCTAGGGCTCTGAAATGTGTTGCCACATTGATCGTATAGCATTGCCTTTGTGCTTTTAGATCAGGGCCGGATTAAGCTGGGGCTTGGTGGGCTGGAAAGTCGTAGTTTCTATGTCTTGAGGGTTCTTCAATTTTGGTACTTATATTTTTCATATTATACAACATTCCTAAAGGGGCCCCAAACTGTTTTTAGTCCCAGACCTTATTTTTTTTTTTAATCCGTCCGTTAATCAGTATTGATCCATATGCAGAACTATGCAAGTCAATGAAAAATAGGCGAGATAGGTTGGTTGGATCCTTCTCAGGAGTGAAGGGCTAATTAGACACATATTACAAGCAGAAACAGGAGTTAAGAGGAGTAGAGACAGATCTACCTTAGATTACTATTCATAAATAGTTAAAGATGTGGGATGTTCTAGTTTAAAAAAGATTGGCTCACTTTAGGATAGAGTGGAGGTACGTGTTCAAACGGTCTTAGGATTATGATGTAAAATCTCATTTATTTAATCCAAAAATCAGAAGTTTACGAACACGTAATGAGCAAAACTGCCTGCAAAATGGCTCATCAACAAAAACGGACAATAGCTAATTCAATAAAGTTATATTTTCGCGTAAAAATTTTGAATTTTCCTTCTTATACCGTATAATTCTGCAATAAAATAAATAAGAATAATAATAATTCTTTTTGCGAAATTCTAACGAAAAATGATTGTGTTGATTATTCGTTGAGTAGTTGAGTTTCGATTTTAACCGTCGATTTTATTGAAATAGCACAAATAATATGGATTTCATATACCAGAAGTAATTTGAAATTGAATCGAATGGAATACATATTAACAAAACAGCAAATGCCTACGTTCAATTGCCAATAACCTTTGTTTCGCAATTAATTAATGCGGGGTTTGTTTAGTACGTCCAATTCGCGACTTTTTATCGATTTTACTTCTGTTTGCGTGTACAAAATAATAATTATTGTTTTCCATCATACAGGCGAATATATANTTTTTTGGCCATCCTGTATAGTTAATGCATTATTCTCACTTATTATAAATATAAATGAAGAAACAAAAGATGCTTGAAGAAGTTACACCTAATTAAGCAGTCAATTGCGTTTTTGGTCATTTTTCATCATTTTTCGTTATTTTACACAAAATAAAATAGAAAAAAAAAGAACTTCGAGATCTTTGTAAATTTATTATTAAAAATCGAATAACACGTCATTAAGTATGGTTTTCGATAAAAGAAAACGCAGGAATACATTATAAAAAAAAAGAATGGGATATATACTATACTGTATAGATTTAAATAAAACCGATTCGCTAGCAACTAATATTAAATTACTAGAAAATGAATTACTGTTGACGTTGTCATGATTATCATCACTTATTACTCTAGCCAGTACATTTGATTACTGACCAAACTTCTAACGATTTTTTTTAAACGCGTTCTAGATAAATGGTGGAGCACATGACAAAGATAATAGTATACCTATTTAAGAGTCACGTTCCAACTGGATAAATGAAACATTTAAAAGTCCCGCAGTCAATACACTGCACTTGAACTGGATTTTTCTGGATCACAGCCACTCTCTTGCACCTGTACACGTTTCTGTTCATCTTCAGGTATGAGCACTTGCTGAATGTATGAATCGGAATTTTCTAAGTCGGTGCCTGACTTTGGACGGGAAATATAATCACCCTGAGTAGTGTTGACTAGCACGGATGCTGCGGCTGCAGCGATGCAATTTGCGCAAAAGTCTTGTCTCACCGGCTGTTGCTGACGTCTCGTCGGTAAACTTGGAGTAGTCTCATCAGGTGTTGATGCACGGCTGCTCTGATCTAGATCGATCGAATCAGCATACGATCTCTAAAAAAAAATCAAATCGAAAAGTTTCAACCATGATACTCCAAGCTGTATACTTGAATGGTGTATTTAATTATGAATTTGAAGGAGACAAGTAGATTTAGAAACGGTTTTGTTGGAAAGTTTGTTAACGATATGCAATGGCCAAGCATAATTAATATGTCGTTCATATTATAAGGGGTTTCTATTACGCGATGTTCGCACTATCGAGTCTATTAAGTTAAAGTTACGAAAATCTTTCTTAATAACTATTAATTTTCATTTTTAAAACATTATTAATTGAAGAAATAATGATAAAAATTTTGATTTGCTTAACTTAATCTTGTACTCTGTAACATATGTATAATTGTTAATCATTTAAATGCCTTTTTTGGTATGAGAATACAAGCAAGTTTAAACAAATACACTATAACAAAATTTTTA